ATACTATTTAATTAATTATTTAAGTAGGCTGCAGTGGGTGGGAATGAGAGATGGTACTGTAACTGTCCCAGCGTCAGGAAGACGTGGGTGTTTGCCTCTGCATTGCAGACTCACTGACCCTGTAACCTTGACTGAAAGTTTCCGACCGTCCAATGCTTAGGTTAGCGATTTACTAACTAATGCCACAATGCATGAATAGATCGACCAGGGCCAAGGTTTTGTACCGCGGCCCTTGCTATACGGGGGTTCAGAACATGTTGCATAGCAACCGCAATAAGCAGGCGGAAGTTTCTGCGTCGAACTTTGTTGTACTTGGTAACCGTTATCTTTCACCTGCGGATTAAGCGCACCGCATAAACGTGACAGGTACGTTGGATTGGGTTACGTTAGGCCAAAACGTCGTCCTTGCGACGAGGTGAGCTTACGCCAGCGATTATATAGAAGCTGTATAAAGTCGTACATCTTACCTTTTGTATTTTGAAAATATGCAGCATCGATAGGCTGGTTTAGGTTGATTGCCTCAAGAGGTACACGGAATAAGGCATAGGTATTATTACTGTGTTACGCCGCAGCTACAGCCGCAAATACCCGAGGTTATTACATTAACTTATTTCATGTTTTACAATACTTTGCGAGCAACTCTTTGGGCCAAAAGCCGAAAACACCTTTTTGTTAGGGTTATTTCCCTACTATGCTTAACGTTATTACTACTGTTGGATAAGCCTACCCCTGATGCTTCCCTAATCGAAGAGTTTCTAAATGAAGCCTCTGTTCTGTATTAGCACCAGCTCTCCATCCTGAAGCTTGTCCGACTAACGCAATCTTTGCCCGGCCGTCATGCTCCTACTTGCTTGCTCCAGCCACCGAATTGGCCTTACCTCTACTATTTGTATACGCTCCGCTTTCCCGTGGTAGCACCCTCCTGATACCTACAAGTCCAGCCCTGATTTAATCTCCTCACGCTTGGTCCTCCCTTGCCTATTTGTATACCTTGCTATCTGATTTCGGCTGGCTTTGCGCTCCCGACTATTAATTAACCATCCTTGATTTTGTTCTAGGTAGCTCGGCCGAATACTGCACAGGGAGCTGTTTCGGTGTGCCACCACCCGTAAGTATGTACAGTTATGCCTTATTCGCTTCAAATTATTCCACACCCCATCCTATACGAAAGTTCATCACCAGCTTTTCCTAGCTTATTTACTGTTCCACTGTTCCTCTAGCACTCTAGGAAGGCTTACTACTTTGCACGCCGATTTGGTTTAGCCTCGTACGCCGAGCTTTTAGCCATTCAACTGATATTACTAGTGAGTAGCAGGAAATTAGTTGAAAATTTTGCGGAGTATTCATTCTTGTACTTCGCAAGCTACATACACAGCGTAGTCCGGAAAAACACCAGATATTTTTCACCCTAATGTGGCACGTAAATGGTGCGCATTCCCTTTACTGCCGTTTCAGTAATTAATATTCCTTTTATCCCTCCTTGCAAACTTGCACGGCTCAATTGGTCTGCGAGCTGTTGCGCTTTGGCCTCACGGTTCCTGCTACCTACTTAGCATTTAATTACTGCAACGCCTTCAACGCTTGATACCAGACCAACTGCTTATCGCCCAAAAGCATTGGATCCATTGTTATTTGCATTGTCTCCCTTTTTAGCGTATTAGATGTAGCTTCGAATGCCCACTGTCAGATCGCAGATCACTTTCACTGTCCAGCTCTATTTTTCTTCACTTGGCATCGTAACCTACACTTGACACAATTGCACTTATTTGCAGGACCAAAAAATATCTACTTAAGAAAACGTTTCCTTATTCACGAGACCACCGTTTTTCCTATATTAGGATGGAAAGTACACAAAAAGAATAGATTGCTTATTTCCAAACTTTGCGGTTTTCAACCGGCTCGTCGGTTTTTCTCTGCTTCAATATATAAAAATATGACTTGGATCTTTCTGGCGATCGCGCACTGAATGAGGTGTAGTTATCAAAAAATGAAGTACCTGCGAAGTTCACTTGCTTGTGGCTCATTTATTTGAATGCGTATCCGACTACAAAGGGTCAATGCCGCTGCTCATTTAATCACTTCTCTCCACACACCACCACTAGCGTATAAGCCCAGTTTGTATAGTTGTGCAAGCTCTTTCCCAATCGGAACAACGGAAAACGAATGAGCGCCTAATTCACAATCGTCACGATGTACATTAACAGGAGACTTTAATGCACAGCTACAATGACGAGGCGACATTTCCTTTGGCAACCAGCTTCAAAGGCCTAAATTAACAGCTTCTTTGTGATAGCGACCCCAGGACTCAATTATCTCCAAACCGATGCAGACAAACCCTCAAATTTCCTTGGCAACTCACCAAATGTGCTACTATTAGGACGGAGCTCAATAAATCTAGCTTTTATGGGACAAACCGGGCTTTCGCCCAACCATAAATATCCTCGTATGCATCAACTTCAAAAGTGTAAGTTCCACACCTCTTAAGCCTATCCCAGGCAACACAGAACGGTACATTCCGTCTCGTCGATGTCGCTTACCAAATCCAATTTGGTAACCTGCAAATCCACTAATGACATTCATCTTCCAAAAGGTTCTAACGCCTTCCTGCTTAAGATACAACTCCACCTCATCCATTAAACTACACCCGTGACATCTGGCACTGAGCGGCCATCTCCAGCCCCCAGGTTGCTCTTGCGGACTGCGCATTTAAAGCCATCTTATCGCAGTTGCGTCCCTTCATGGTGCGTCATCCCTTTAGGCACAATAACCAATACGCCATTCCCTTACCTACCTGTACCCATTCTCTTGACTCGCTCCCCAATCCTCTCTTACCTTCTGAAACAATCACCGTTACCAGAATGTCTTCCAATAGCCGCACCATGGTGGTCACCAGTATCTCCTTCCCCATCAGTGCACAAATCGATCATTGCAATGCTGCATGTCCACGTGTGGCGACGACTGCCTATAAACATTGATTAGTCCTGTTCAACGTCACTCAGCTGCAGCATTAAATAAATAAAGAAATAAAGAAACATTTCATTCTGGACTATGCGAAGCAGGCCCATGGAGGCATGACCAGATATGTACAACTGTACAGACATGTTATGGCAACTGTAACAGTGACCGTAGAAGATGGTTCATATGTCCATGATTAGAACTGTACAATAGTAAAATGCGAAATAATAATTTGGCGATCGTGAAACCGGGACCTTGGCTAATAATAGATTGGGAACCCTGAATGATCCATTGGAAGATAACTGAAGAGCAAGCTCAACAGAGATATGACAATACAGTGAGATCGTGCACAAGTGATGCAAAGGTCAACTGTGATATCGTAGAAAGCGTAAAGACGACAGTATACGCAGATGTAGAAGTTCCAGTGTATTGAACCTATATAGAACGGTGACGTTAGTTGAGTTGCCAGTGTGAAGGTGTGGGCTGTGACTTTATTCGGTGGCGAGTCACCTTCGCCACGTTGCAGTGTTGTTAAACGGACATTCGTGGCTTTTTATGGGGAGAACGCTTGCCAGGCGAATACCCACCACGTCTTGAAACACTGCAGCCAATCCATTGAATGGCAAGTTGTAACTGGCTGTTTCTGCTTGAAAGTTACTTTGCTCCGTTATTCGTAGGCAGGTTGCGTCCCAATTTTCTGCCGGCTAATGCGAAGGCCTTGTGCCAATTGCGTTCCTGAGTCCTGTCCTGTCCGATTTGTAGGTCAGGTACTAAACATTCTTTTGGAATATGATGTGTTTATCCTCTGCAGAACCATGTAAAGTCTCCGAACGACGTACATTGAAATATGTTAAATTGTTATTGAAGGATTGAAGGATAGAATATGGTTCCGACGAAAGAAATGCAGGGCCCCCGGGGTATGAATTAAAATAGCTTAGGCACCCTCACCGACAGGACTGATTACGGAGGCTATATAAAAAACCCCAACTTTCAAGCTTCATTAGCCACATGGTCTGGGTGTCAATTAAGAAAGAAAGCAAGCGAAGAACCAATTTATTCTGGTCATTGAGAGGCACACTGTCAAGGGCATTTTCATGGTAATACAGGCACGTGTGATTGCCAATCGCGCGAATTAGTACGCTTTGACCAATATCATGAGAATTTATGTTTTTGTTGACATGTACATGTAGGTTAATGTGTTTATTTGGAGGTATCCATGTTGGATATGTAAATGTAACTTTGTTTTGTTCGCTGGGTGCACCAGCAAAGGGAGAAGCAAATAAATAAATAAATATTTATTCTCGACTATGCGAAGCACGCCAGTTGAGGCATGATCAGGATCGCTTCGAGTTGGCTGAAATACGTGATGTGTGAAAGATCCTCCGGAAAGGGAACAGGCAGTGACTTTATTTAGTGGTGTGTCACATGCGCCACGTCACCGTGCTGTTAAAAGGATATCCGTGGTATTTTTATATGGAGATGGCTTACTTTGCGAGGTCTCTCCACATCCTGGAACATGAACGCCGATCCACGTGCTGGAACCGGATTACCCTGAAGCACCCAGCTGGCAACACGGAGAGGTTGTACGGCTAGACAGTCGGTCAACTTGCCGAAGCCTGTATGGATCCGTGACCTTATTGAGTAGCGACTCACATCCGCCGAGGCAACTTGTTGTTAAACAGACAGTTGTGGCTTTTTGTAGGGTGAACGCTTGCCAGGCGCAACCTTAGCACGTTCTAGGATACTGCCGACTGGTGATCTAACACTGACAAGCTTGCCTCTGACCGATCATCCTCGAATATACTCGTGGTCATGTTTCGTTAAGTTGTTTCCTATGATTGTGTGCTTGTCTCCTCCGGCGTCGAGCGCAAATAGTTGGAGAACTTGAAGTCAACGAATCAGGTGACGCACCGCTTCGATTAGTTTTCTAGTTTCCAATCGTGTGTCACGATTGCGAGGTGCTGCTGAGTTGCTTGGTCTGTGTTTGTTTCGTGGCCGGCTAAGCGTCGCAGGTATGTCCAAGTCGATGTTCCGTGTAGCTAATGTTATCCTTTAGAACATAAGAGAAAGGGAAACCGGCCCGAGCAAACTGCCGAGGAAATTGAACAAGACTATGTTAATGTATAAATACAAACGTTTTGATAAAGTTGTGTTTGTCAAAACCAGTGGAATAACAGAATAAATTATATATCAGATCTGCTGTTTGGGATGCACTTATGAGACTGCATATTTGCCGAATGTGAGAGACAATGCTGTCCGCATTGGCCTAACGTACACAACGGTTGTCCGGTGTGGAAACCGGGAACAGCGCTTGTTGTCAACAGGTGATTGAGTTGATGGCGTCAAAAGAACCTGATTATTAGGGTAGTATGCGACTAAAATGTAGATTCAGCTCTCGGTCGACAATGGTAAAGCTTATCGTTCGAACATGTATGAGGGCCAATGTAGTTTCTACGCCGGGTTTGTGACCCGTGAAAATAATAATGTAACGTGCTCAATAAGCGGATGCCGGAGAAACTGCTGGGTACTGATGTGAGACGGAGTGCCAGAGAAGTTGTGACTGGAATGGAAGAGACTATATGCCACAGCTGTGTCGCGAGTACGGTTGCAAAGGCAGTGCTGAAATGGACCTGGAATGGCGGAAAAAGGTAGGTGCTTCTACGGTAGAGCGGTAATGGGATTTGGATTAATTGTGGGGAAGAAACTGCCCGCTGTCGTAGGACGAGACACGGACTGATGGGCACAAAACGCTAAAAACAAGCAAGATGATAAACGAGTATATACTACGGCTGTGGCGAGAAAAGGGTTGCAGAGACAGGTCTGAAATTGTCCAGTACCATCTGCAACGTGTGTGCGGTAGCGCCAAATGATGCTAGGTGTTACAATCTAAGATGGATATCAAAGTGGAATATAAAAGTCAAGCAGACCGCGAGGGAGTGAGAATCCGACAGCCTGATTACTTAATAATTCTGAGCGACACGCTATTTTAGGCACAGGCGTAGGCTAATAGGTGCGCATTGTTGAAAACGGGAGGGAAAACAGCCAACAATACTTGCAAAAGCTGTAGCGCGCAAACTGTTGTAGAGCCAACTCCGGAAATGACCAAGGGTGAGGGAATAATAAAGACAGCACGGCCAGAGATGCTAAGTGGTTCACTCTTAGCTTTGCTTCTACAGTGGGACAAGCAGCTCTACTACGTTGGCAGAGAAGAGTAAAGGTGTGTGACGGATTAGTTATGAAACAGCTGTCGCTAGTTATCTAGGAATGTGGCACTTAATGGTAGACAGTTCAGAGCCCGCTCTGCAACTGGCCTAGGGTAGCGGAATAAGTTGGGCAGCAGCGCCAGCAACTACAAATATTCCAACTTGGGTTTGACTTCTACGGGGGAGCATATAAGTCAGATAGACGGTAGAGAATAGTAAAGGTGCTCGCCAGGTTGACTGAGAAGCAGGTTTCAATTGCTATCTGAAGGCGGATTATACTGACCGGTATTCAAAGTAGCAAAATTGAGTGAGCCAGGACGGGACTACACACTATAGCTGTAGTGAGAACCTGGTTACAGCGCAGCTCTGAAATAGACGTGTGGTAGCCTAATAGTATGAGCTGCATCGCTAAGAGATACAAAGTGTTTCCCTTTAGGGGCTACAATAGTGAAAAACACAAGTCTAACAGGGTAGAGAACAGTGGTGGTGGAAGCCGTATTTGTTAGGAACCCGGAGCCAGGGGCTATCGTAGGATGAGGAATGAAGTAATAGGCTCCCAGCCAAACCCCGACAGACGCGGAAACTAAGACGGATGAATACAACGCTTCTGAGGGATAAAGCGGCACGCATTACCAGGGCTCCTGTACAAAAAGAAAGAAACGCTGGAACAATGGTGGTGCTTGATCAGAAGTGGTCGCACGCAGTTGGCTAAGGTGTTTATTACCCTGTGCAGGCGCCATACGGATAAGCCACACTAGTGGCACCGGCGTATTGGTCAGGTGTTGAAACGGCGGAATAATCATCGGAAAGGTCTCCATGAATCTGTTGGTTTCCGCAGGTGGCTTAAACACAAAAGAAGTCAAAAGTTGGAGCTCAAACTGCCGAGGAGTGGCCAACTACTCCTGTAGGCGTAGACTGGCGCAAGACGCAAAAAGAAACTTTAGGTGTTAGTACAGCTACGTGCAGCCGAAAGCATATTTATGGGAAGTAGCTGGTAACATAATCGCTGATGGGCAACAAGCTACAGGAGAACTTCTTAAGGCACAGGAGTTGCTGCGCATTTTCCGGAGCTTCCACGGGGCGGGAAATTGATTTTCAATACCTGTGTCATCGCAACGCATAAGCAGGTGCAAAATGGACGAAATCGTCATAACTGCCTCAGGCGTCTCTGTACTGGGGACTTAAACCCATACAGAGCGCATGAGCAGGAGAATGTGCATCCCGCCATTGTTAAGCCGACTGCCAACTTAATCCAGTTTCCTATTCTTGTATTGTTCATCATGCCCGTTCGTGTGGGGAAGATATCAGAGGATTAGGAGGAAGCAGTTGTAGAAGCGCTTCCTAAGGGATGTACCAAGTCTTCACCAAATAACAACCGGCCTGTTTTCCTGACCATCGGCCTTCGCAAGTGTCTGAAAATGTCTACCAGTAAGGGGCTCTGTGAACACCTTGCTGCTAATAACTTGCTCGGAGCAGAACAGCATGGCTTGGTCAAAGGAATAGCATGGTTTCCTAACCTGCTGTATTTCCTGAACGTAATAACTCGATGTTTCGATGCTGGCATATCAGTAGAATGGTGTGACCTTGAATTCAGTGAAGCTTTTTATTTGTTGTACCACCGGGTGTTATTAGGCAAAACGTACTGGCTTGGAATCCCTCAACTGCCTTATTATCTGTCGGCATTTCTTTATGGAAGGATATTCCGTGTCAGGGTTGTCGACATTATTTCGACGGCTGGCACTGCTCATTGCAAAGTTCCTCAGGGAGCAGTACTTGGTCCGTCGCAGTTTCTCATGTATAAAGATGACTTAGTCCTTCTACTTAAAGACCGCTAATATATGTTTGCTGACGAATTGAAGCTTGTCAGCAGGAAAGAGGGCTCCGTTATCCAGAGACTTTGCAACAATGCTTACTTAATCACGTAAGTGGGACTTACCATTGAACACCAGTAAAAGTCAAATCCTAAGCCCGTGTGTGGTTGAGTATAATTTGCACAGCTCTAATGGGTCCCTAACACTGCAGTATGTCACTGAGGCAAGTGATCTAGGTTTCCTCGTGAAGAGTGAGATTAAGCCTGCTGCGCATTGCAAGCATGCGACTAATAAAGCTCGACATGCGTTAGTTCGTTCCAGGAGGGTTCTGAGTTGTACCAAGCCAGAGTTCCTCCTGTCCCTGTTCAAAGCTGTGGTCAGACCACATCTATAATACCCTGTTCCGGCATGGACGCCCTACCTGCAGATATTATTGTTGTTGAATGTGAAAGGGCTGGTCACAAGAAAGATAAAAACCCAGCGTAGGTTACTGTAGGAAGATGGTTATCTACCTTGTGTTTGCACTAAATGAAGCGACGCATGTTAAGAGGTGGCTATGCTGCCCACCTATATCTTCATTGTTATGCTGACCTTGTTGTCACTTATAACGGGTAACCTATGAACCACAACTCTGAAGCTCCTCTTTGCATCGCACTTGTATCCACGTCCTGTTCCTACTACTACTGTTACCTGTTCGGCTCGGGCTTTCCTCTCCCTATATGCACCACTTACCTAGGATGCTTCGAGCACTTGCCTTTCAAGCTGTGCATCCGCACTTGTTTGCGTAGAACTTCAAGTATTTGGATCTGCTGCGCACCTGTATTTTTGCTTAAATCTTACATCGATAGCACGAATAAGTGTTCACATAATTAAGCTTAACGGCACTGCGGAGTCCCTCTTCACACTACATAGCATGCATTGCTTCCTCATACTTCCTCACTTATCTCTTTGGCTCTGGATTTCATTTCCGCGTAGACCCCACCTAATTCCGATGCTCCACCGAGTCGTCTTTGACTATACAGCTCCGCAAATTTGTGCGCACGACTTCAAGTATTTGAGCACGCTGCCGGTCTTTATCCTCGACTCCAACCTGCCATCCTTACCTTGAATAATTTTTGTCACATTTAACCACAACACTGCATATTCGCACTTCGCTGTGTACTCCACGGCTCGTCCCACGCCTTCACTTACATCTTTGGCACTGGATTTTCGCCACCCTTATGAACCACTGCCACCAATGCCACACCGACTTGGCTTTGACATTGTAGCTTCGTAAGTTTATGCGTAGGATATCAGGTATTTGACGGATTCCCGCCCATATACTAACCACCAAACCGACAGCCGCATCAGTAAAACATTTAGCCTAAACTACACTGCATAGTTCATCTTCAACTGGTTTCGTATCCCTCTTCTCGTCCTACTCCTTGACGTACCTCGTTGACGATGGCTTTCCTCTCCTATTGTGGACCACCTACCTCCGATGCTCAGCCGCCATGCCTTCCGCACTGTAGTTCCGCAATTTTGTGTAGTGTTCCAAGTATTTGGATATACTGCGCATCTATATTCTTATTCGCAAGCTGGCCTTTGCTGTCTTACACAGTAGTTTTTATCTATCACCCTACCAACAATGGAGAGTTACGCTTCACCTAGCTTGGTATCACTTGTCTAGTCCTATTTCTTCACTTATCTGTGGCTCCGGCATTCCGCTACTCAAATTCGCCACCTACTTCCGAAGCATCGCCTGTCATTGTAGCGCGGTATATTTGTACGCGTGGCCTCAGGGATTTCGTTATGTTGCTTGCGTATATCCTTACCCCAAAGCTGATATCATCTTCTCTCATATTTGTTCCTTGATGTTACTATAACAGAATTGCACGTACCTGTTTCACCGGGCTTCGTAGCTTTTGTTTCTTTCCTACTTCTTAATTTACTCTTTGGGTTCTGACATTTATCTCCATTGACGAACCACCTACCTATGCTGCTCTACTCATTAGACTTTGACCCTGTAGCTCCGCCGTTTTGACTTGTATGCTTCA